AAATGCATATTAGAATTTAAATAATGCAAAAGTGTAAAGTAAAAAAGGTACCTCTGTAATCATACCCCACAGAGATTACAACTAGCAATGTTTCTTGATTTTTAAATGCATAGATGTAAGTAAATATGTATAAATAAAATGAATGATGTTATTCTGTGTTCACTGCTCTGTAGGCTGCTTTTTCATTTGACTAGATCTCTAGGATGCTTTTCCATGTATAGATATGGCATTAAAAAGATGTCCCAGCTCTAGCTGGTTTGGCTCAGTGGATAGAGTGTCGGCCTGCGGACTGAAGGGTCACAGGTTCGATTTTGGTCAAGGGCACATGCCAGGATTTTGAGTTCAATCCCCAGTAGGGGGCATGCAGGAGGCAGCTGATCAATGATTCTCTCTCATCATTCATGTTTCTATCTCTCTCTTCCTCTTCCTTCTCTCTGAAATCAATAAAAAATATATTTAAAAAAAGATGTTCCATCATTTAGCTTACTAGCCTGCTGCCAACATATATTTTGTTGATTTCCAATTTTCCACTTTTATAACCAACATTGCATTCATTATTTTGTAGACACATTGGTGTAGATTTTAAATTATCTTATTAGGATAAATTATTACAGGTACTTTGATGTTTTCTCCAAAAAAATTTTAAGCATAATACCTAGGTTTCAGGGTATAAGCCACTTTTTAAAAAAATTTAAATTCTTGCCGAAACCGGTTTGGCTCAGTGGATAGAGCATCGGCCTGAGGACTGAAAGGTCCCGGGCTCGATTTCAGTCAAGGGCATGTACCTTGGTTGCGGGCACATCCCCAGTAGGAGATGTGCAGGAGGCAGCTAATTGATGTTTCTCTCTCATTGATATTTCTAACTCTCTATCTCTCTCCCTTCCTCTCTGTATAAAAATCAATAAAATATATTTTAAAAAATTTTAAATTCTTTATTGTTTAAAGTATTACATGAGTCTCCTTTTCCCCCCACTGACCTCTCCCCAGCCACTCCCAACCCACAGCACATGCCCTCACCCCACCTACTGTCTGTGTCCATTGGTTATGCTCATATGCATGCATATAAGTCCTTTGGTTGATCTCTTACCCCCTCACCCCCCACCTTCCCTCATATGTTGGACAATCTGTTTGATGCTTCTATGTCTCTGGTTCTATTTTTGTTCATCAGTTTATGTTGTTCATTATACTCCACAAATGAGTGAGATCATGTGATATTTATCTTTCTCTGACTGGCTTATTTCCTTAGCACAGTGGTTCTCAACCTTCCTAATGCCGCGACCCTTTAATATAGTTCCTCATGTTGTGGTGACCCCCAACCATAAAATTATTTTCATATATGTTGCTACTTCATAACTGTAATTTTGCTACTGTTATGAATCGTAATGTAAATATCTGATATGCAGGATGTATTTTCATTGTTACATATTGAACATAATTAAAGCATAGTGATTAATCACAAAAATAATATTTAATTATATATGTGTTTTTCAATGGTCTTAGGCGACCCCTGTGAAAGGGTTGTTCAACCCCCAAAGAGGTCGCGACCCACAGGTTGAGAACCGCTGCCTTAGCATAATGCTCTCCAGTTCCATCCATGCTGTTGCAAATGGTAAGAATTCTTTCTTTTTTACTGGAGCATAGTATTCCATTGTGTAGATGTATCCCAGTTTTCTAATCTACTCATCTGCTGATGGGCATTTAGGCTATTTCCAAATCTTAGCTATGGTAAATTGTGCCGCTATAAACATAGGGGTGCATATAGCCTTTCTGATTGGTGTTTCTGTTTTCTTGGGATATATTCCTAGAAGAGGGATTACTGGGTCAAATGGAAGTTCCATTTTTAATTTTTTGAGGAAACTCCACACTGTTTTCCACAGTGACTGCACCAGTCTGCATTCCCACCAGCAGTGCACAAGTGTTCCTTTTTCTCCACATCCTCTCCAGCACTTGTCGTTTGTTGATTTGTTGATGATAGCCAGTCTGACAGGTGTGAGATGGTACCTCATTGTCGTTTTGATTTGCATCTCTCGGATGATTAGTGACTTTGAGCATGTTTTCATATGTCCCTTGGCTTTCTGTATGTCCTCTTTTGAAAAGTGTCTATTTAGGTCCTTTGCCCATTTTTTGATTGGATTGTTTATCTTCCTTTTGTTAAGTTGTATGAGTTCCCTATAAATGTTGGAGATGAAACCCTTATCAGTGATAACATTGGCAAATATGTTCTCCCATGCAGTGGGCTTTCTTGTTGTTTTGTTGATGGTTTCTTTTGCTGTGCAGAGGCTTTTTATTTTGATGTAGTCCCATTTGTTTATTTTCTCCTTAGTTTCCATTTGCCCTTGGAGCTATATCGGTAAGATATTGCTACAACATATGTCTGCTATTTTGCTGCCTATGGATTCTTCTAAGATTTTTATGGTTTCCCGTCTTATGTTTAAGTCCTTTATCCATTTTGAGTTTATTTTTTTGTGTATGGTGAAAGTTGTTGGTCTAGTTTCATTTTTTTGCATGTATCTGTCCAATTTTCCCAACACCATTTATTGAAGAAACGGTCTTGACTCCATTGTATGTTCTTGCCTCCTTTGTCAAATATTAATAGAGCATAATGGCTTGAGTCGATTTCTGGGTTCTCTGTTCTGTTCCATTGATCTATATGTCTGTTCTTGTGCCAGTACCAAGCAGTTTTGAGAACAGTGGCTTTGTAATATAGCTTGACATCTGGTATTGCGATCCCTCCAACTTTGTTTTTCTTTCTCAAGATTGCTGCAGCTATTTGGGGTCTTTTTTATGCCAGATGAATTTTTGGAGAGTTTGTTCTAGGACTTTGAAATATGTTGTTGGTATTTTAATGGGGATTGCATTGAATCTATAGATTGCTTTGTGTAGAATGGACATTTTAATGATGTTGACTCTACCAATCCATGAACACGGTATGTTCTTCCATTTGTTTATGTCTTCCTCTATCTCTTTTTTCAACGTCCTGTAGTTTTCTGAGTACAGGTGCTTTACCTCCTTGGTTAAGTTTATTCCTAGGTATCTTAATTTTTTTGTTGCAATGGTAAGTGGGATTGTTGTTTTTAGTTTCTTTTTCCTTTTCTTTTTCTTTTTTTAAAAAATATATATTTTATTGACTTTTTACAGAGAGGAAGGGAGATAGTTAGAAACATCGATGAGAGAGAAACATCGATCAGCTGCCTCCTGCACACCCCCTACTGGGGATGTGCCCACAACCCAGGTACATGCCCTTGACCGGAATCAAACCTGGGACCCTTCAGTCCACAGGCCGACGCTCTATCCACTGAGCCAAACCGGTTTCGGCTCTTTTTCCTTTTCGTTCTCTCTCACTCCCTCCATCTCTTTAATTCTCTTACTCCCTCCATTCTTCTGAACTTCTTTCCTTTTTATTCTCTCTATCCATCCATCTACCTATCTTAAACACTACAAGTTCATCCTGAAACCTCCTGTTCCATTCTGACACCATGAGTTTATTATTTCTAACTCCCTTCCCCAACAGCGGGAAACCTGGCTCCCCTGACTTGCTCATTTGCACAATGCTATATAGTACAGAAAAAGCTTCACTATTGTAAATATATACCACTGAGAGAAACAAACATCCCAATCAGAGTTCAATATTTATTTACAGTTCTTTTGGTTTTAGACCGAGAGTAAACAGAGTATTGTATCCTGTGTATAGAGTACTATCAGAGTGTGTTTATTTTTTTACTTTTTTCTCCCGTGTGACTATGTTATTTGTTTGAAATACAATTAGGTACATTTATTTCTGTTTAATTTATCCTGTTTTAATTTCCTTTTTAATCCTTTCAAATCACCCTTATTATCCATATTAGGCAGAACATATCTTAATAAAAGTTTACCCCCAGAAGACCTGCAGAAGTCTTTTTTGATACAGAAATGAAGTTCCAGATCCAAGGATCCCCTTGGCTTCAAATGGAGTCCCCCTGTTCTAGTCAAGGACCCAAACCTGCTTGCTCACCATGCAACCCTAGAAGAAATCAGCTGTAGGACTGATCTCATCCCTAAGAGTGTCCTTGTGGCAAGAAAGACCTTCCTGTGGATTATTTCTGATTACAAAAAGCAGGGCCCTAATGTCTCCTCTCCATACTTCTATGTTGATCTTCATCAAAGTATAGAGAGCAAGGCCTGCAAAAAATAATAGGGGAAATGCACAAAACACAATGACTTACAATAGCTCTGCCAAATCTCTCTCCATCGTAAGGATTATAGAGAATGAAAAATAAGGATACTGCATTGGATTCTAGATTAAAAAAGATATTGCTTTGAAGGACAGTATTGGGATAACTGATTAAATGTGAATAAAGATAATATTAGATATATTTGATATTATATAACAACATTGTATCAATATTCAATTTCCTGAATTTAATATTTGCTCTCTGGGTATATAAGAGATGATTCTTGTTCTTCAGAGGCACATGCTGAAAAAAAACCAAGGAGTGAAAGGTCATTATCACTGCAACTTACTCTCAAATGGTTCACATAAAACACACAAAAATAAAACAGCAAAGTGTTAGTAGTTGGTGAAGAGTACATGGGAGTTCATTGACACTATTCTTGTGAATTTTCTGCAGTTTTGATTTTTTTCAAAATAAAAGTAAAAACATGACAGATGATGTATCATAGAATTGTATACTTGAAACCTATATAATTTTATTAACTAATGTCACCAAATAAATTTAATTAAAATGTATTTACAAAAAAAGAAAATGTAAAAATATTAACAATTAATAAGATAGATCCATTTTACATATGATAGATTGGCACATTACATATTTATAACAAATCCTCTATACTTTTAAAAAAGACACAATAAAACAATCACAGACAAAAATGTACATTTTAAGGCACAAAGAGAACCCCCATAATTCCAGAAAGTAGAAAGTTAACACTTTAATTATTAAGTAAGAAAGAATAAAATTAAATAAACGAGTATTCTATTCAAGGAGTTAAAAAAACAGACCAACATACTTACACCTGGCAGGGGAGATACCACGAAGGTGCTTTCCCAGGTGGAGGCTTACCCCTTGCACTCCCAATTGCTGACCTCTGCGATTTCCCCAAACGTAGGACACTCGATAGTACGATTCGTGGTAGCCAGGGACTGCGTTCTCGCTCTCCTTTGGCGATAATAATAATAATAATAATAATAATAATAATAATAATTAATAATAAAGCAGAAGGGTGGAACTAAAAAGATAAAATCAGGAATAAGTGAATCAGAAAACAAAAAACCCAATCACATTAAAAAAATAAACCCAGGCACTGGTTCTTTGAAACAATCAATGACAGACAAATCACTAGTTTAATTAAAAAATACAAAATTATGGGTTAATACCACCTAATAGAGAGTGATACAAAATCTCTTCATGCAGTTCACCCTATTGATAAAGCAATGAAGAAAAATTATACTAGAATCTCTAGAGTTGTCAAAAGTTATTTAATGAACTTCAATGCTCTGGGCAAGCGATGCACCTTAAGGCTTTAAATTGTATAAGTCATGTGCCAAATCCAACTAATTCCACCTCTGGATTCCCAGGGGCTGAGGAAGAAGTTCCAAGGGCCCCCAGGAGAGAGTGTGTTGGCCTGAGCCAAGGAAACTGCAGGAGAGAGGGGTGGGGTGGGTGGGGGTGGGGTGGGAGCCTCCAAAGAAGTGGGAATCTTTAAGAGCTCCAGGGAAAGCCCCATTTATTATTTGCCAGAGGAAGGGAAGAAGCCACTGGCCGGCCGAGCAAGCATGGCTGGCTGCTTTGCCCCCTACCACACTCATACATGTGTATGAGGGGAAGGAAGGTGGGTTCGAAGCAGCACCAGTGGGTGGAGAGGTGGTGAGTGTCGATGGACAGAGAGCAGAGACTACCCACACTCTTCCCAGAAGGCAGGCAGAGGAGGCAGGCAAAGGTGGGGGAAAGTCTGTTGTTACCAGAATGAAGGCTTTGCTTAACGTCTTGGACGGAGCCAGCTGATTTTTGACACTGGACTGTGTTTGTGGTTTAACGTGATCACAAGACTTCTTCTCCCTAAGAATGAGCTAGAAAGTCAAGGCAAGTTTTCACCGGTGGTAGGACAGGGTTTCCCCCACTGAATAAAGTTTACAGAGCCAGTGGGAGACAGAATTAAAGGGTGTTTTGATAACAACCTTCTCTCAACTTCTCTTTCTTTTCACGTATCTTACATCTTCAGCAGCAAGAAGAGACCAGGTGATCTCTTCAACCCTGTTCTTGGAAATCTCTACCTAGATAACCAAGTTCATCAGCTACATATTCTGCTTTTTATGTAACTGCACATGACAATTTTCTAAGCATTCTGCCACTACATAACAAGGATTCCTTTCCCTTAGTTTACAATAATAATCTCCTTTGAGCTCTCACTGGCATCACCTTCAAAGTCCAGATTTCCGCTAACCAGTCTGTTTTTGGCTTTTTCTATCATTTTGCTCAAAATCCCTCCAGCTTCTGCTCTCTGCCTGGTTCCAAATCCACTCCCACATTTTAGTTACTAGTATACGTTACAGCAGCACCCACTTCCAGGTACCGAAATCTATTAGTTATCTCTTGGTGCGTAACAAGTATCACAGACTGAGCAGCCTAAATCCACACATCTGTTTCCTCCCAGCGTCTGTGGGTCTGGAATCAGGACTGGCTTAGCTGGACTCTGCTTTAGGGTCTCTCACAAGACTGCAGTCACACTGTGGCCCGCGCTGGGCTCCCATCGGCAGGCTGGCCTGGGAAAGGGTCTATTTCCGAGCTCAGGTACACAGCTGTTGGGAGGGTAGGGGTTCAGTTCCTTTCGCGTGTTGGACAAGGGCCTCAGTTCTTCCCTGGCTCCTGGCCAGAGGCTGCTCTTCACTTCTTGCCTTGTGGACCTCCCCAGTGTGGCAACTGGCTTTACCAAAAACCAGCAAGGAAGCCCGGCTGGACAGTGTGGCTTGGTGGTTGAGTGTTGACCCATGACCCTCAGAGGTCAAGGTTCGATCCCCAGTGGGGGACATGCAGGAGGCAGCCAATCGATGATTCTCTCATTATCAATGTTTCTATCTCTCTCTTCCTCTCTGAAATCAATAAAAACATATTTAAAAAAAAACAACCCAGCAAGGAAAAGCATTTGCTTGCAGGAGTCACAATCTTATGTAATCTAATCCTGGATGTAGCATTTCATGAACATTAACTTTGTAGGATACATTTTTGTAACTGACTTCTGATGAAGGTTTGAAAATATAGCTTCATTTGGGATATAATTTAAAGGAATACTATGAGTTTATTGAAATTATTGAAAGAGCTTTTCTTCCATTCCTAAAAATGTACCTTTGTGGATTGGTTTCTCTGCTCTGAATGTTACTTAGGCCAAACTAGAATCACTTTAACGATACATTTTGCCCAATGAGTACAATTGTCAATCCAATCTGGGTCATATGTATAACGGTGGAGAAGGCTCATTTGTCATATTAAAACTTGAAATCTTTTGCTTTGTTCTTATTTTGGTTATCTATCGCTATATAACAAACTGCTCCCAACACTTAGGTGCTTAAACGCAACAACCATTTTACTACATCTCATGAGTTTCTATGTTAGGAATTCAGGCCTGGCTTGCTGGGTAATTCTGCTTTACCTGCACTGGCTGGGATCACAGGGTGCGATTCAGCTGGTGGGTGCTCTGGTCTGGAGGGTCCAAGACACATTCACTCATATGCCCGATGCCTTGGAGACGAGGGATGGAACACTGCTGAGCCCTAGAGACTTGAGTTCTCTCTGGGGTCTCAGCGGCAAAGTAGCTGGACTTCCTACGTGCTGGTTCAGGGTCCAAGAGGGAGTGTTCCATGACACAGGAAGTAGGACTTTCCTGTCTCTTGAGGTTCAGGCCTGGAAACTGGTGCAGCCTGGAACGTGGTCACTTCCACCACGCTCTGGTGGTCACCGCAGTCACAGCCTTCTCAGAGTCAAGGGGAGGGACATAATCCCATTTCCCAATGGGAGAGATGTCAAAGAGTGTGTGGCCCAGATGAACTGCCCCACAATTCCAACTGCTGAACAGCAAAAAACGAGTGCAACTGCAAGTTTATCTAGTAATTGCCTCCCCCCTCAAAAGAACATGTCTAGTTTTTAGAATTCTTTTATCTTTCTCATTTTGTTTGTTTTGATTGTATTTATTAAAATATAATTTTATGTCTGATTAATTTAAACATTAAATGTGGGCTTGTATTTTTTTTCATTTTCATAATAATCTATTTTAATTGTATATGACAAAAGTGTTGGTCCGAGGCTCATTGGAACATTTAAAGAACATTGGTCATTCCTCTCAGGCAGTTTGAGAAGTGCTGTTATAGACGATTCAGTTGTCAGAGTAATGAGTGATACAACCGGGTGGACTAGCACAGGGATGGGAGCAGCAGGCACTGGTAGGAAGCTGGGCTCCGGCCTCTGCTCCCACCACCAAGCAGAGCGCCTTGGAACCCGATGTCATTCAATGTAGGGGCAGTGTTCTCTTTTCACACACACGGGGTTCACTTGGCAAACCTACAGGCGGCTTCCTCCCAGAGGGGTGCTGTTTCCAAGTCCTCCTCCCAGAGGGACAGCTGTCCTGTGCTACGTCACAAGCCGGGAAAGAGGAGGCACCATTTCCAGTTGGTACAGAGGCCCCTCGAGACTTGGGGTGGCAGTGTAAATTAGAGTCCTCCAAGGTCTTCATCATCTAAGATAATGTTATTTAGAGTTACATGAAAAGGCTTACTTTTGGATACTCAAAATCTGATAGCCCAAGTACAAAGCAGAGATGACATGAGGGCTTTTGTTGACACTAATGAATTAAATTTTAAAAAAGAACGTGTTTGTAGATTTCATTCATGGAAATTCATTTCTGGAACGAAGGACATGAAAAGTGAGAGTTCCACTGCATTCCACCCTACTGAGAAAATGTATTCATCCACTCATCAATTATTAATAGGCTACCTTCTGGGCTGGGCAGTGGGAAACAAGAATAAATAAGATACAGTGCCAGTCCCAGAGATGCTGCTATTTATTCCCCTGTTACTCAGAATATGGGGTAATTGCAGAGGGGTTCAGTTCTGATGCCACATGTTCACAGGAATATGGAAAATTAGAATAAATTCCGAGGACAGAACTGGAAGGTGAAGGACTCAGATGATCACATATGGATGATGTTTAAAGGAACTAAAAATATTTGACCTGATGAAAAGAGTGGGAACACTTGCTACTATTTTTTAATACCCCAAACTGTGCTGACCCAGCTGAAAGCCACCAGCCACATGGGGCTACTTAATTAAAGTTAACTAAAATAAAAAATTCGGTTGTTTAGTTAGAGTAGTAGCACTCCAATGGCCAACGACCGTAAGTCCCTAGTGGCTATCATATCGGACAGCACAAATGTAGAATGTTTTTATCATCACAGGAAGTTCTACGGGGCTGAATAACATTCCACTGTGTGTAGTATATACCACATTTCCCTTATCTACTCATCCATTGGTGGACATTTAGGTTGCTTGCTTGATCACTGAGACCGGAAAATGGGAGCACTTCTGTTAGAACATAGAACACTTGATGATGGCAGAGAGAGTGACACCACTCGATGTAAGTTCCTTCTTGTGGCTTGAAGCTTTATTCGGATCCCTTACTTTCACCCTCCATCTCTTGCTGGGTCTCTGTTGGCAGGTGCACCCAGATATACTCAGTAGTTGACTTGGTGATACAATAAACTAAAAAATCCACACCCTCTAACTTCCACCTGGTGAAAATCACAGGGTTGTTTAAGTAGCAGGGGCTTTTGGAGTAGATTGGTCCCTTTCTTTCCCTTTCTGCTTACTCAGAGGGTAAGGAGAGTTATAGGATTGTCAGGAGGGTGTAGGATGGTCTGGATGTTGGCAGAGGACTGGAATAACTAAGTTAGTGCTCAACTTCTCCCAGGGCTGCCGCGAGGGCCTGCCTCCCCAGGATGCATGCTTTGTTCTGGGTCCCCATGAGCCCTCTGGAGCCACAGAGCTGCCTGGCATAGGTGGGACCCAGGCCGCTCCGCTGGGGCGATTTTGCCCAGCGCCCCTGGGAACCGCAGGCTGATTTGTATGTTCTCGTTGTAACCATTTCTGAAGCCTCAATTTCTGAGATCCTCCCTGGC